CAATGTGTATATCTGAGGAATAAAAATGTTTGTCAAACTACACCCGCCAACCCTTTATATACCAACCAAGAACCAAACAAACATTCAAGGAAAAATGTTTTTAAACGAGGATCTAATACATTTTAAACAAGACGGTGCCCCTCTAATCATCATACAAATAAATGGATTGGTAGACAAGGCCCTATTGGGTGGACACCACGGTCGCCATATGTAACGCCGCCTGATTTTCCCTTCTAGGGACACCTTAGAGCCTCACGCAATTGAGCAATTACGGGAAATACTTATACAAGCATTCCGATCGATATCCAGGAAAACTTTCGATAAAGTCCGTCGTAAATTGAAATGTTCCTCAGATTGTATGTAAAATCCATGCTCAAATGTGAAGAATTTAACGCTATGAAAACAAACCCTCCATACTCTAGGTTGACCACACTGAACTTCTGAGATCGTTCGCTCAGAACCGTCTTTCTTATCAGTACTAATGACTATCCATCAATCTTCACAATAACATTAACTATTCGGCATAATTAAGGAAAATTTCGAACCGACATGTTTATGACAAAGGAAGTTGGCATGCAAGGAAGTGTGGAAAATGCCTTTCAGATTGAATCAGTGCACATGCCAGTACACACTTAATTTGTTTATAGTGTGTCAAAGTCGAAAATTGTGCGTGTGTCCCCAAATTTATGCAGATGTAAACGGTTTATCACACGCAAAATGCATACAAATATCTCGACAAAATTTGTGTCGCAAACTTTCAGGTTCTCAGCAACAACACAATATTTATTATTAATGGTGCATTCGTTCTCTAAAACATGTGATGAATTTATGGCCATACGTTGTTGTCAATATATCGATTATAAACGAACTTGATGGTTTGGAATTAAAGACGTTGAAGAATGATTGGGATTGTTTAACGAAAAGGTTCACAAAGTTGGATAATAAATCAAAATACACACATGAAACAGACTTTAAAAGAGAGTCAGGAAAAATTACTGTTAGGAGGAACAAACGTCCCCAATTCAAGCACTTTCTCACATGTTTTTGTATTAATTTCTCAAAACTCAGCAGTTTGTGCCTCTTTTACATCTCTTCTCTTACTCGTTACGACGCGTTACTACTAATTTTAATCTCTACTTCTGAAAAAAGAACCGGAACAGTTTTCATAATAATTTTTGTAATGTTGCTCAATCATCTTTGACTAACTTTATTTGAAAATTGTTCAGGCTGCACATTCTTGACAGAGTAGAAAAAGTTATTCGTCTTTAAAAAGTTCTATAGAATGGAATTATTAAATATTTAAACCTTTTATGCAAAATCAAAACTAAAGTAAACACTAAAGATGCGGTGAACTGTCTGTCAAGAGACCGTTTTCTCAGAAATCATGTATACGAACACAAATCCGGTCATAAATAATAATAATACTGGGCGATACAAAAAATATGTAATTTTAAATAAATTTCGACAGCGTCCTCTTCAATGTGCATACAAAAAATGTTAACGGATTCTAATTTTTCGCCCCCTTAAACCCGGCGATACGAGATTTCGTTCGGATTACAAACAAAATAATATTTTTGTCGATATTTTTATCTTAACTTTGACGCCCCGTATTTCGAAAACCGTCCACTGTTGGCTCATACAAATTAAGTTAAATCAGTATGTTTTTGCCCCAGAAATATGTGGTAGTATTTTGTACTGACATTTAACAAACACATTCTGAAATTGGACTTTTTGTGAATATTGACAATTTACACATGCATGTCTATGCTTTTCACCTGACCTTTTGAACTGTTGAATATTAATTGGCAAATACCACCTCCGATAGATGCGATTAGAAAACTAGTAGATAGTAAGTAATTTGATTTGATGATCAAAAGATATCCCTTTTATCGCAGCAAAACCTATTTTTTTATCTCAGGTACCCCAAAAGAAACATATAAATCGTCCTGTCGAGCAGCATGGTTATAAAACTTTTTAATGCTTTACTCATGTTTTCGAAACACCCTACATTTAACAAAACCCCAAAATGCGTGATTTTATCCACATTTATGGAAAGCACCGTCTGTTCCTAGCACTTATTTTGAGATTTTTTTGTGAATGAAAACAGAAATGAAGAGACATAATAAAATATTCACTGAAAATTCAATAAAATGAGCAGCAGCAAAATGCTAATTAAATTGTTGGAAAAAGCAAACGTTCCAGCTCGTCGAATTTTTTACCCAATAAAACAGCGCTCCCGTTGATGTTTTTTGGAATGAAGTTTAATTCAAAGTTGAAAAAATTGTTTTATGAAAGTATTGATTGTCTAGCGGCGAATCTAGGGCATCCTCAAGGAGTGGTGAACGGGTAAAAATAAGTTTTGTTCTTGGAAAAGGAAAATTTGGAAGCGCTTCCTTGCAGAAATATAGTCAGCTAAACTAATTGGAAATTGGTAATCAGTAGGTAATTGCTTAAGATGAATTTATGAAGGCAATATTTAATTAGTCTCCTCCATAAAAAAACTTAATTAGTTATAATTCTCATACTAATTGTAGTCGGCAATAAAATGCTATTTAGATGTCATTCACACTTGCAAGAAATGGAAATAAATCCGTAAGGGTGTAAAAATATTCTATTTTTAAACAAGATGTAATACCTATTCAACAATCATATTCAAATAAAAACCTAAAGTAGACACGAATAACCTAGATTCCACCAGGCATCAAGCCAAGTCACCAACCAGATCTGAAGCAGTTTGATTGATGTGAATAAGAGGCCTTTGAAACACTAAATGACTGATTTCCGGACTTTACCCGAAGTCCATGACCCTCCTCAATAAAGTTCATTGCAATACCGAATTTTAAAAAAATATCTTCTTTGTAAGGGCAATGCAGTTATGTATTTGTCACCGCAAGGTGTGTATTGTTAAAGGATGTTTCAAGCTGATGAATTTAGTTAGATTGAATCTGTTAGTGTTGCTTTAATATACTGATAGTGTTGCCTGATTTATAATATACCTAGTGACACAATCATCTAACAAGTTAATTAAAATGCAAATACGTGCATCGACGGTTGCAAATAAATAATAGCAGTGGAACAAATCATACTGTAACTCGTACTTATTGAATAAAACAGCCTACCCGGTTAATAATAGTATGCAATTTCACAATGATCACTAAACACGATAATGAGCGTTGTATCGTTTCCAATACTTTGTTGTTTCGGCCTTTAATTTGATTATTTATTAATTTGGTTATAACATTAAGTAGAAAGTGGTGTTCAGCAGGTATATGACAATTTAATTAATAAAATTGAAGGAAACTTGAATTAAAGACGCTGATTTGCCAGCCGCAAATAACCACATAACTAGAAAAAAAAGTGTTTTAAAAAACGAATAGATAATTTATTTGTTAATAATTTAATGTATTGTAGATTTATTATTTTTTAAACTATGTAGGAGTAAATCAGAGGATGAAAAGTACCTACTTGATGAAAATTCAAGCCCTCCAGAAAAATTCCTGATACCGACCATATTAAGATGTTCTCGTGTCCGATAGCATGATGCTCGGAGATTAGAAAATACGGCTAATTGTTCGGAAAATGTCATGAACCGTTAACGCAATTGTCATTTAATGCCTTTGTTCTTTCACGCGAGTCCAACGAAATGTACCTGTATATAATTAAAAAAACGTCTAACAACTGGCCTGGAGGACCAAAAGGAAAAAGATTGATAGGGAATTCTTCCAACAAACTTTAAGGCAGACTGATTAATTGCTGCAATCAGAGTATTCTAACTGAAACTGAAAGGAGCAGCAAGAGAATTTAAAGACTGATAACGACTTGAGGAACTTTTTCTTCACTCTGTGTTGGACACAAACAAGATGAATTATTTTAAATGATAATTTTCAGCTGTGAAACTTACACCTGGACATGAGATTCATTTAATCGAGTCAAAGTGTTCGAATTTTGCCTCTATTAAAATATAATGGACTTCACCCATTAGTCTACCATTAAAAAGTGTTGTATTTCTGTACGTTTTCTTAACATTTAATTTTTTTTCGTTCTGAGAAACTAGATGTGTAAAGAGCTATATCGATTTAAAAATGGCTAGCTAAATAAGGAAAAAACTTTTGTGTTCCATTATTTGACCTAATACAATATTGCATACATCCATTCATGAACAAACCACACCGTTGAGAAATCCAAGATTACAACAAACAAATCTCCGGTAGCGCTTCTTGATTACAAACAACACGGATACCTGATACTTGAAATCAAATACATTGAATGCGTCTTGTTAATTTCCACAAAATATAAATATATATATATATATATATTTGTATACACACATACACACATGAACTGATAAAGTCCATTGACCCAAAATTACATGTGTGTCACCCAATCGCAATAATGTAGAGGCAGGAGCGGACTTAAATAAAGCCATCAAGTTAATTTGATGTAGTAGCAGCGATTTAATCAGTTAATTAGGTTGGAAATTGAGGTAATGAAAGAGATGTTGTTCGTTGAATGCACCGACAGTGCCTCGTTAGTTTCAACAGGAAAAGTAGATCGATTCAAAACGAATTATGTGCAGTGTAAATTAGATGTGTCAACACTTTATGAATGCCCATTAAGCAGTGACAAAATGAGATTGACAATATATATTTTGACTAATTTGGCTCACTAAAAACCGTCTACATTTGATAGTTTATTCCAACATTGTACGAACTTTCCTTCCAATTTGCAGACCAAAAATTTTAAAAATAATGAATGAAATATGACAAAATTTGAACTGTTGAAATGCAAATTAGCAAACGTCTCATGCAACCAACCCCTAATAAGATTGTAGAAGGTAAATAATCCAGACACATCATTAAATAATGCAGTCACTTTAGAGCATTTTTTGCATATGTGAACGTAAAAATTTGGCGTTTAAACACTGCTTGCTTGATTTTATTATTATCTTAATCGTTACTTTTTCTCAAATATCCAATTTTGACAATGAATTAATGACCTACCTGTTATTTTGGTCAGGATTGGATCGGCCCATATTGGGCCCCTGGGGCCTTTTTTCGTCTTTATTTGGCAGGCGTAAGTAATCTTGGTCTCCGAGAAGAAATAGATCCTTGGAGATGATCATGGCCGCGGCTGCCTGGCCTATAAATTACCAAAAAAAATTATAGGTAAAGGCCAACAAGGTTTCTTACTTGCACATACTGTGTACAGAATTTGGACTGTTTTAACACAAAACAGTTTTTCGGAAGAAAATTGGCTCCAACTTTTTTATTTTACGGAACGTTGATATTGTGTAAACTCTCCCTGTTAAGAACTTTATAAGCACTTTTCCATTTTCGTTAAAAGCAATCCATAAGAGCACTCACGTCTTTTTTATTGCCCGATTTCCAACCCACTGATAAAATCGCCCTTTTTGCTTGTAGGTTTTAACTTCATGGTTTTTTAATAATTTTAAAATGTATCTGTCTGAGAACAGATTTGAAATAAATACATTTTGATTTTGAATTTCCTTTGTCTCGATTTTGATTGGACTATTTCCGTTTTGGCTTTCTAAGGCTTCCATAATTCAATCAATGAATTTTGAATATTTGAAATTTTCGGGCGTTGTTGGCGCTCGGAAAATGTACCAAAATATAGGTCACTAGCTGCTTGAGAAATTTCGTTTGCTCAAAGTAACATTTTACCATTCCGTTCTTCTCAAAGTGCACATTTTGTAACAAGTTAGAAAAACAGCGGAAGATGAAAGCTGCAACTGAGACCGAACAGAAATAAAACTGTGAAAGCCCGTCAATTTTTATAAAGCTTTTTTTTAGGTAGAAAAGAAAATGTTGGCATCAACCGGGTTGTGAATGGCTGAATTATTTTTTTAATTGAATGATTTTTGTTCAAACATTTCGGACTTGAACAATCTGAGTACACCACTGGATTGCAATAATAAAAATTTTCCTATGAAGGTGTTTTTAGAATATTATTATACCGCGAAATCAAATAGTTATGAACATTTTTCAAAATGGAATAAAATTGGCAAACGAGGAAATACAAAGATTCTGAAAAGTCGATCCCGTGATTGGCAACTCGATTTTGCTGCATCTGGTAGACATTTTATGTTAAAACAGACCGATGTGACCACCCTCTACATTTCAACCTGAACAAGCAAAACAAATCTTCTCAGTAAGTCACTGTTCAAAAGAAATAGCCAATGTTCGTACAATTCTCGATTCGGAGTGTCCGCAAGTGATTGTATACATTGTCACATTTAATATTAAATTTATTTAATTATTTTATAATTTATTTAAAAATAGGTATAACAAATCAGTTCAAAATAATCAGTAGGTAGGTATTTAAAGAGTTCGTATAAACTGATGTTTATTTATCTGTCTAACTGCAATTATGGCAAAACTTTTAAATGTTCATGATTTGTTTCTATAGTGGGCGCCCTCAGTTTAAATTCGGCTTTAATTTTAAATTTTTACCAATTTTCGAGTAAGTACCTAATAAAAAAGAAACATACGTAGAAATAATAGCTTTTAGTTAGTACTTCGCGAGTTCAACTACCGATGGTGGCGCTGCCAAACGTCAAATTACTCGTTGCGGAGTGACGTTTAAGACTTATCAGACTGGTTTATTTATTGGAGTTGATGACATTTATAACATAAAACAATACTTACACACTTTTCAATCTGTTTATATTTCTTTAAACGCTTGTAAAAATTGATTAGAACCAAACAAAACAAATCGCAATCAGATGTAAAGATCAATGTGACACCAATGTCAACAAAACAAGTGTCAAATTACTACTTAACTTGTATTTCTAATTTTAACCACCAGGGGGCGTCTGGACTTTTAAACTCGCGAATTCACATGGGAAACACAGACCGAACAGAATATAACGAACGCTGCTGAATTTGTACGTGTTCGTTGTGATGCGTGTTATGTGTCTTCTGTGTGTAAGTGTTGTACTCGATCTGTTTAGTCAGATGTTTTCTGAGAAATTAAAGTAATGAAAAATTTACAAAATTATATGTAAAATGACAATTACATAGGATTAATATTTCTGACTGACACGAAAATTTTCAAAGAATTATAATTTTAAAACAACGGCTTCTAGTAATGCGACGTTATTTTGGACACGATTTTAGTTCCAACCAAAAATGTACATAAGCCCCTAATATTCAGATGCTTGATCTTTATCAGCTTTCTGGAACTAATCATGTTGAACTAATAGCAAACAATTAGAATGGTCTGAATAAATGACTATATTGTCGTTCAATTAAATTTGTGTATTTTAGAGACATAGAACTTGCTAATGTTGAAAAAATCGAAAGAGTAAACTTGGTCAAAACCGTGCTTTGCCAGAATGGTTAAAAAATAATGTTTTTGTGGGTGTTTGCGGTAGTAGATTAGAAGGCCACTGGGTGAAGCCAACGAATAAGAAAATTCCTTGTAATCGATATAATTATGCATTTTGAAAATTTTCTCAGAAAACAGTTCTAATGATTATAAGTTCTAATGAGTGTCGCGAGGTTTAAATCAAATCTTAGGTGATTTTGTAAAGAAAACTTTTTAATCCCAATAAATTATTAATTTTTAAAACTGTATAGTTTGCCTTTGAATTTTATGCCATGTTAGATTTCCATGTCATTTCAGTTGCAAAATTAATACTATTATAAATTAACAGGAAAATTGGAAAAACAAATTTTTGGTAGTTTCTCAGAGAAAAAACAATAAAGTGTTTGAGCAAAAAAATTGTTCTCATTTAAATTGACCGTAAAATAATTTTTCGTTTCTCATCGAATTTTTCCCAACTGTATTTACTTAATTCCGCCAACTGAAATGTTAAAAAATGTAAGTTTTTTTCTATAAAAAAAACCAACGTACCGGCCTAATGGTGATAGTTCCTTATCCTGTCACTTGTTGATTGCACTGCGCGTAAATTCAATACGTTCGTCAGTTCTAAGCGCACTGCATGCCGAAAGGGCAACACAACCGTTTCTGCAATCGACCCGTATCACAGGCGCAAACACACTGCCGTACGCGGCGTACGCGCCGCCATATCAAAACGCACTTGTCGTCAACATAATTGCGATGTTGTCACGTTTCCCTCCCGTTTTTTCGGAAAATATCGAATAAAACGAATTAAATCTGATTCAAGTCTGAGATCACTACTATAAAAGGAATTAATGTTAATATGTCGGAGCGCGAGTCTGTCCGGTCGTTTTGCTTTTGCTGTTTAAAAATCGCGTGAGCACCTGTCAAACGAGTTATTTTGACAAAGACCTTATTCTTCTTTCATGAATGTTAAGCCAAATTTTGTTATCTAGTGGCATCTTTCATTGATATTAAATTATTTTTTAAGTCCACGACTGCCCAATAACAGACTATTATGAATATGTCTGGTTAAATGTAATAATGCTCGTTGCTCCCCATAGGGAATAATTAGATGAGAATAGAGAGATATGGAAACACACATTACAGTTGCGCCACTAATAGTGACAACCGTTCATTGTCATGCCTGCTGCTTACTAAGGTTTGTGCCTGACGTTATTTGTGCACGTTGTAGTAACCCCCGAAATAAATCGTATCCATTTAGAAAAATTGAATTTCATCAGACATTCTAATAGATAGGGAGTATATAGCCAAAATGAAAGGTTTTATTATCATGAATAAAACACTAACAATACAGGGTTATTCACGTTATACGGCACGGACATTTGCGGCTAGCCCGTTTGTTTTTTGCAAAGTATTATTTGATGAATGCACAGACGCTTATCAGGTGCACGTTTTAAAAATATTTTTGTAATGTACAGAGTGTCCCAAAAGCCCTAAAAGTATCAAAGTTGTGTTTTTCTAAATGAAATACTCTGTATATTATTGCATTTTTGGATTCTCTGAGCAAAATAAATGTTTCTTTTAATAAGATTTATAATGTCTAAATCTAAAGGTTTTTTAAATAATTCGA